CCCCCCGCGACCCTCCTTTCACTCCTGATCACTTGCCGCCGCACCCATCATGGCCGGCGGCGCGGCCCCCACCCCGGCCCTGGTGCTGGCGCTCGCCCTGCTCTGCCTGCTTCTGGCGGCCTCGCCGGGGCGCCCGTCCGGCGATGTGTACCTCTACGCCGGGCGCCATCCGGCCCTGCCCTCCGGCCATCCGACGGCCATTCACACGGTCATTGGCCAGCCCTCGGTGGCCTGCGTCCTCTCGGAACCCCGGGCCATGTACTTCCACGAGCAGGTGGATTCGCTGGACGCCCAGCCGGAAACCCGGTGGGGCAGCTTCTTCTCTCGGGAGCCCATGTACTTCACCTTCGGCTCCGGTCCCGACCCTCCGGCCGAACGGGTGGTGGACCTGCTGCCGATCCCCGGACAGCAGCTGCCCGTGGTCGTACACCACACCCGCCAGTGGATTGGCTTCTTCGCCTCTCCCGATCGGTGGAATTTACCCTCGTCCGACGTCGAAGTGCTGGCCTGTAATGCCAGGCTCGACTCGCGGGTCTCCTGCGTGGGCCTGCACCCGGCGCCGGCCGGCAATCCGCGCCAAGTGTACTATGGCGTCCTGAGGGAGGGCGGCCTCGAGCAGATCAGCATGAATCTGTCCCTGCCACCTGGCCCGGTCTTGGCCGCCCCATCGATTGAGGGCAACTTCCTGCTCGCCAGCGGCCAGAAGCTCATCAGCCTGTTTACCATGTTCGATGGCACCGGCGTCCACCTTGAAACCCCGCTCGCCAGCCCAATCCACCAGCTGGCCTGCACATGGGCCGTCTCTTCGCCGGACACTTGCCCCGACAGCGGGGACGCCGTGGTGCTCTTGGCCAATGGCGAGGTCCACATCCTGCCCTGCCATCGGACCTTCGCTGCCAACCCCCCGCCGGGGGTGGTTGGCCGCCTGCCAGCCGGCCTCTCGGCCTCCACCACCCGGCTCGTGCCCCCGCCCGGGGTCAAGACCCTGGACCAGCCGCTGCGCCATTTGTACTTCCTGGACATGGCGGCCCCGGCCAGCCCGCGCATCTGGCGGGCGGATGTCCTCCCCGACGAGCTCCTCTGGCGCCGGGTCATTCCCCCGGCCCGGGTGACCAGCCTGGCGGATGTGACATTGGCGCGGCTTCGCATGTCCGGCTCCCCGGCCCCCGGGGCCTGGGCCCTTGTGGCCCAGGGGATGGCCCTCTTCGACTCGCAGGCCCTCCGGTGCGGGCAGGATCCCAGCATCGTGTGCGATGGAGCCGACCTCGCCAGCGGCTCGCCGGACGGGTGGGCCTGCGCCGGGGCACGCGCCGAGGCGCCCTTCGTGTCCACGAGCCAGCTGTGTGCCGGCTGCGCCGATGGGCACTTCCTGGATCGCCCTTCCCGTGCGTCCCCCGCCTCCGCTTTGACGCCTGCTCGGCCGGGCCCTCTTCGGGCCCCGCCCGGCCACCGGCCGCTCCATTGCCCTGACACGCTCCGCCGACCGCCGCCCTGCCCCCAGCCGGGCCGCCCTTCGCCCACCCGAGCCACAGCTGCCAGCCCTGCCCATATGCCGGCTGCCGCGAGTGCGACCGCATGGAATGCCTTGCCTGTCAGCAGGGGCTCTTCCTGGAGCCCAGCGGCCCTGCCGGCAGCATGGTCTGCGTGGGGGCCTGCTCGAGCGGGTTCGCCCTGCTGGCCGGCGTGTGCCAGCCGGCCAACTCGCTGGCCCCTCGGACCGGGCTCGGGCCGCCTGCCCCGGTCAGCCCGCCGGGCATCGGGCCCGAAGTAACCATCTCCGCCCTCGGGCCCACGCGCCTCCGGGTGGACTCCGCCACCGGCATGCCGGTCATCCCGGCGGTGGGCGCCGCCCCGGCGAATGCCCTCCTCCTGACCTCGCAGCCGGGGACCCTCCTGCTGCCGGTGGCCGAGCTGGAGGGCCTGGACCAGGCCACCCCGGTGCCGGTGCATCTGCTGCAGCCCGGCGCCGGCCTGCGGCCGTGGGTGTCCTTCGCCGAGGTCGGGCCCCTGCACCATGCCGGGCACCTGCTGCTGGGGATCATCTTTCTGGATGCCGAGGGGGACACCTTTGAGGCATGGCTGTCCTGCGCGACACCCGACCCGGCCACCGCCTGCTCCCCCTCCGCCCCGGTGGCCGCGCACGCCACCGGCTTCCAGCCCATGCTCGAGGTGCGCCGCCTGGACGAAGCGTCGCTCCTGCTGTCCTCCGCCAGCGAGGGCATCCTCCTTCGGGCGGCCCCCGCCTCCGGGGGCTTTTCCCGCACGTACTTCTCGGCCTCCGCCACCCTCCCCCTGGCCGAGGGGTGGCTGCTGCAGATGCGGGATTTCCGCCGGGCCGCCGCCGGGCCGCAGACCCTCCTCCAAGACCTGGACTCTCGCTGGCCCGGGCTCGATGGCCAGCTGCTGGAGGTGACCAGCCTCCCGGGGGCCCATGTGCCGGTTCTCCTGCCCCGGGGCGGCGGCCCGGCCGGCCCGGGCCCCGAGCTCGTGCTGGTCTCGCTCCAGGCCCATGCCTCGTGGGCGGTGCTCCGCGCGCCGGGGGGCCTTCCGCCCGACGGCCCAGCTGGCCGGTTGGCCCTCGTGCCGCAAGGGCTCGGGCCGCTGCCCCGGCCACTGGCCCCGGGCCCGGGCCCGGGCCAGCATGTCCGCGTGCTGGGCGTCCAGCTCCATGGCCAGGGCGCGGACTTCCCGAGCGCGCTGCTGCTCCTGACGCGGACCTTCTTCGCGGTGTCCCTGCTCCGGTGCCCGGCCGCCGGGGGCGCGTGTGCCCTGCTGCCGGCGGTCGTGACGGGGCTCCCCGCCTGGGCGCACCTGCCCGAGGATGCGCCCTTCTGGTCGGAGCCGATCATCCACCCCCCGGGCCCGGCGACCACCGCCAGCCCGGCGACCAAGCTGCTGACGCTGCTGCTCTGCTCCACCACCACCGGGCCGCTGAGCGTGGCCCTGGAGTCGGCCTGCCCGCCGGACACCTTCGGCCTGGGCTGCACCCCGTGTGATGCCGCCTGCCGGGGGTGCTCCGGGCCCGGGGTCGCCGGGTGCTCGGCCTGCCGGGCATGGCTGCCCGGCAGCCCGGCCGCCTGTCTGGCCGCCTGCCCGACCGGCCTGCATGCCGACCCGGCCGGCGAGTGTGCCTGCCACGACACCTGCCGCACATGCGAGCCCACCCCCCCGGGCAGCGGGACATACACATGCAAGGCCTGCATGGCTGGCCATGTGCTCGCGCCCGGGGGCGCCTCTCCCGACCGGTGCCTCGCGTGCGATGGCACATGCGCCGAGTGTGCCCTCCCCGGCGACTCGGAGGCCTGCACCGCGTGCTCCGGCCAGCGCTGGCTCCTTGGAGGGGCCTGCATCGAGCAGTGCCCGGCCAGCATGTGGCCCGACGCCGGGGCCCGGGCCTGCCGGGCCTGCCCGGCCGGCTGCACCGGCTGCACCTCGGACACCCAGTGCACCGGGTGCGCCGAGCGGCACTTCCACGGCCAGGACGGCCTGTGCCATGCGTGCGATGGCTCCTGCGCCCGGTGCGACGCCCGGGCCAGCTGCACGGCCTGTCGCGCGGGGCTGATCTTCCTGTCGGTCGACCCGCAGGTGCCGTCCCTCTGCGGCAGCACCTGCGCCCCGGGGGAGCTTGTCGCCGACGCCCGCTGCCAGGCCTGCGATGCCTCCTGCGCCCTGTGCTCGGGCGCGCCGGACGCCTGCCAGGTGTGTGCGGCCGGGCACCGGTGGGCCGGGCCGGCCCCCGGCCCCGGGGGGACTGGCGCCTGTGTCGCCTGCCCGGCGGGCTGTCTGTCCTGCACGGCGGATGGCCGCTGCCTGTCCTGCGCGGCGGGCCTCCTGCTGGAGCG